AAACATTACGGTGACAAAATGCCATCCGACGGCACAATTCCCGCTCATCTATTGGGCAATATGTGGGCCCAATCGTGGGGTAAACCAAATAATATTATTATTGAACATAATTATAAATGTTAATGTTAATTAATAAAACTCAACTCAAAAATATAGGAAATATATTGGATTTGGTGGTTCCGTATCCTAACAAGAAATCTATTGATATAACAAATACATTGAAATCAAATGTAATTTTAATAATAAAGTAGTGAAATAATGTTTATTTTGCTAACTATATAATTATAATATACAGAATTGGACGGCTTTACAAATGTTTGAATTGTCGGATAAATTTTACCGCGATTTAGGACTCATAGGAATGCCCGACTTATTCTGGAACCAAACCGTATTTGTAAAGCCCGACAACAAGAAAATGGTTTGTCACGCGTCGGCCTGGGATTTCTTTGACCAGCAAGACTTCAGGTCTACATACAAACTAATTTGCAATTAACTCTTTACTGAATATTTCAATATAATATTTAGGGTTAAGATGTGCACAGATGTGACTATGGAAGAGCTCATTACAATTCACCACGAAATGGGACACATTGAATATTACCTCCAATATCGTGACCAACCCGTTGTCTTTAGGGAAGGAGCGAATCCAGGTATACAAACATTTACACAAACATTAGTACTCGTGTTTAAATTAAAAATTAAATGTTAATTATATATCAAACTTAAATATCAAATAAAAGGCTTTCACGAAGCGGTGGGAGACTTATTAGCGCTGTCAGTGTCCACTCCGAGACATCTCAACAAAGTTGGTCTCTACAGTCCACTCGTCGACGATCACGAAACTACTCTCAACTATCAGATGTCAAAGGCTTTAGAGAAGATAGCATTCTTGCCATTTGGTTATCTCATGGATTTGTGGCGATGGGATGTCTTCTCAGGCAAAACAAGTTCCGATGAGTTAAACAAAAAGTGGTGGGAATTGAGAATCAAATATCAAGGATTGT